CTTTCTTTCTTTTCCCTTGGGTGACATCCAATTGATAACAAACTTCCATTTTTCATGGACACGCGGAAATCGGTCAAATGCTTGTTCCTCAGGTGACCTGAATATTTTCGACACCTGCTATCTATCAGTTCTAGCCGTGTGTGTGCGCGCTCGCCTCTGACCTGTTTTCGTATTATTTTTTCTTTCTTTCTTCTTTGTTTTCCCTTTCTTTCTCCCAGATCGCTTGAATGTAAAGAAAGAATTATTCTTAAAAAACAAAATATTTTTCGGCCTTAAATAATTATTAAATGGTTGATAAAAAACAAATCATATATCTATGAATATTTCTTCCAACTCGTCAGGTATGCATGGTGCCACATATTTCTTTGTTGCGTGTCGTCGATGGGTGTTTTCAATTCTACGAGTCAACGAAAAAAATGTAAGATGGTCTTTGATATAATGGAATATGCATACACCTGAGTTTCCCCTCACTGGAATATGATTGGCTTGTGTCCGTCATAATTACAGACGGACGTGTAGGTATGACAGAGTTTATGACAACGCCCATTGGTCTACGCCATTGGCTATCCTATTGGTCTACACCTATTACCTGCGACTACGACGAGCACCGGTCGATTACTGCTACCGTGTACTACTTGATTACAGTAGCCAAAACCCACTTAGCTATTTCGATCAAATATATCCCTTTCCGGGACATATCAGTCTTCTAACAAGGAGATTGATTTTTTATGTTTGAACTGAAAAAACAGTTGCGCCTCTGCCTCTAGCTCAATCGCCTTTGTTCATATACTTGCATGAGTCGACGTTCAAAAATCCATGCGATCGAGCGATTTTCTTCCCCCAGGCAGCTAATCACGATTCATTTGAACTCCAAGAATTCTTATATTACAAATCTTGATAAAAGTAATAAATCTCCTACCCTGAGAAAATCTCGAGGATTCGACGTGTTTTCCTGTTCCCCGGATCATTTGCCATCCAATTATCTTTTATGACAACCTGATATAGATACTCTTTCCGATTGTATTAAAAAGTTGGTCGACCAATATTTTTTACTCGACCTGACTCCAAAACATCCTACCAATCTCTTTATATCTATTATCTCGACGGTTCACCTGTTTCGTGTCATTGTTTCTTGGTGTTTTCACGTCTGTTTTATTTTACCAGCCTCTTGTTTGATCAATTTTATCACGCATCCTACAAAGCAAGAAATACTGAATGTCCCGGTAATTATCACTTTGTTTTATTTATATTACTTTGAGTTTAATTTCTGTTGTTTCAAACATTGATCGAAAAATCTTTCGTTTCTAACATTTTTACCCAACCGACTTTATCTCGGTATAAACATTTCTCGAGGATAGGGACGAGGCGGTGTTGGTTCATACTGTTTTATTTTTAATTAAATATCTGAACATAAATGGTTTTCTATTGCTTGCTTGTAAAATCCTAGCTAGCAAAGCGGGCATTTCTTTTGTGTTATATGGTTAGATTTAGATACCTTCACTTTGCACGCTGAAAAAACAGCATGATGAAAAAAGGCCCCAAAACTTAATAAAAACAGTTTTATCGTCAAAATGTTTATGTTATTATTAAGAGGAAAGACCAAAGTATTTTTTTTATTATTTTAAATTTTTTTTAATCCTTTCTAGCACGTTGGAAATTTTGGTTAAAAATCTTTTTTTTTTACGTCAGCGATTGACGTAATATTTACGTGTTTTTGCGTTTTTTTCCAGTGAAAAACATTGATTTGTAAATTCTTGCAAATATGAAATAATTGTCACATTTTAATGAAACTTTCAGGACATATTCACAAATTAAGTTATTTTTCAATTTTTTGTTTTAGAAAATCTTGGTAAAAATATTTTTTTTTTACATATGTTACCCTCACCCCACTAACTTAATTTCATGAAATTTCGAAAAATTAAATTTCCTTTCCCAAATTTTTTTATTAATTAAAAGTAGGACTCCTTGGAGAATGTAAATCTTTCAATTTTCATCAAACTACTATTTTTTTCAGAAAATCTGCTCCGAATTGTAAAGTAAAAATGAAGTAAAACTATGACATTATTTAATTAGAGAAGCTTTTTCGCATTTATAAATAAGATTTATTAAGGGCACTATTGTCTTAACGAAAAAAAAAATTCGATGAATAATGTATTTTTACAAGAATTGTTTTTATTTTTAAAATTTTAATTATAATAAATTATAATAAGTTAAAAATCGTTTAAAATTCTGCATTACTTCCTTTCTTTTAGGTGATATTGTAATAAAGTAGAAACTATATTTACGAATCAAAACTTGAAATCTTAAGTCGTTTTAAAATACATTTTATTTTTATTTTTTTAGTTTAAACGTTTCCATTTTTCTATGTATGGTGGTCTATACATGGCATTATTGTTAAAAGGTCACTTGTAAGAGTGGTCCTAACTTTACTGAGAAATTCGCTTTTGTGCAATTCATTTTGTGTTTACGTCTTAACAGGCTATGCACATCATCCTTTCAGTTTTAAAACTTTAGAATAAGTTACATTTTAATTTTTATTTCACTAAATATTTTTTTATTTTATGTATTTATTTTAGTGCGGGTCATACTTTAATTAAGTGACTTTTTATTTTTTTTAGGAAGAAACAACCGAGAAGAAATGATTTTTTTGTTAGTAGGTTTTTACTTTTTCAATTGATTCTTTTTTATAGTATTTAATTATTTTTTTTCAGAAAGCATCTTCAAAAATAAGGCTATAACACTATAGTAACTAAAAGTCAATAAAATATAAGATAATTACTGAAAATATTATGTTACTTTATAAAAATTACTAGGTAGTTAAAAACCAAAATATGCGTTCACTTAGATTTCATAAATTTATATCAATTCTGGTCTTCCGTACTTATCTGTAATCATATTAACTCGTCAATTACATCACTCAACACTTCAGAAAAAAAAACAGGGCCCGTGGTTAAGAAATGCTTGTATACTACATTTTCTATGCTATAAGTAAGTTATATTTGTTTCAAATCGGAATAATTTAATTTTAAATTTGCTAATTTTCCTCAAAGTGTCACAAATAGATATTTTATTTTGGGAAGACTTTTAAAAGCGATAATTAAATTTTGTTTCAAATGTGGAAAATGGCCGTTGCAAAGAATTTTGTGAGAGCGAGCAAACAATTGACATTCCAATCTATATAATTTCTATTTGAAATACACCACAGTATTTTGCTTACTGGAAATAGTAATTTTAATCATTTAGCTTTCAATAAAGCTAAAATGAAATCCTTAAGAATGCTTTTTCATTTTTAAAAATTCATTTTAAACCTTAGGTATCGAAAATTTATACCGAATTAGTGAAGATGCCTTGTTAGATTTGTCGCATGTCAGGATTTTATTAAAATTTTAACAATTATTTGGTTATTTAAAATTGATTTCTTTCCCTAGACAGCTGATGGCGGCTAATTTAAGCTTCGGAGCTCACCAGCAACACTTTTAGAAAATATACAAATATTTAACTTATCAGTCACCAACTTGAAAACGTAAGAAAAACTATTTTAAAGTGTTCACATGTATAGCAGATTTAATCAATAGATCGATGATTAGTAAGATATTCTTCCATAAAGATCATTAAAGTAGTGAATTCAACCCTCATTGGGAACTCTCGTTCTTGTAGCTCTTTGCTAGACTAAACTGAATAAGTGTCTATTTGTATAGCCTGAGTGGTAATTAAGACCTTCACCTCCAACATCAAGAATCAATGTTTGCACTTAAGTAAAAAATAAAAATTTTAAATGCTGGTTTCATGACAAGTAGACCCCTCAAAAATTGTAAAGCTGGCGCAACACAGTCTTCTGACTCCGCATCGCCCAATGTATATTTATTTTAGTAAATAACTACTCTTTATAAGTAAAACAGATAGTTATAAAATGAATGTCATGAGAAATAATGGTTATAGCAGCCATTAATATTACTGCTTTACACTTACAAATAGATTACTGAAGGCTCCTAGCAGCTCACTAAATGAAATAAGGCATATTTTTTGACATGGTAACTTGCAAATGATTTAACTTAATCAAAGGTTTTGATTCAAGACAAATTTCATTGATAGATTTATTCATTTTTACGGCTTATCAATCCTCTGCATGTTATTGAAAGCCAGAAAATTTTCATACCGAGAAAATTGTTTGAAAACAATTATTCGAAAAACAGTTATTCGAATTGTAAATTGTTTAAATGAAAATTAATCGAAAGAACATTTATACTAAATGTTAATTATTCATAATACCTCTGTTTGAAATACGTATATGGTCTTGATTTGAGGGAGTCAATGCGGATTTACCTAGAACTAATAACGCTCTTGAAGACTGGCATAGGGCTTTTTACAGCAGGTGCCATATGAAATCATCTCAAAATATGAAAATGCTTAGACGCTCTTAAAAGTGAACAGGACTTGCAAGAAATTTATTTTGCAAAAGTAAGAGCAGGTTGACAAAATATCACCAAGAAACACCGCGACATAAATTGAAAACTTAAGTGGCATCTTTTAACAAGTACTCTTCACTAGTTGACTATTTGCGTGCAGTATCATATAACTTAAGGTTATAAGGATTTTTTTCGTATTAAATTGTTTTATGAACGATATTTGTATTTCGAATAATTACCATTTGTGTATTTCCTCTTTTAATCATTATATTTTTATTGCAATAAAAGATTTTGTATTTCAAATAATTATCATTTTGTACAATTGTCTGTTCGATTCATTTTCATTCAATCAATTCGAATAAATGTTTTTCGGATAATTATTTTCAAACATATTTTTAAATTGTAAGAAATTTTTGGTGTGTGATAATGATTTAGTGATACAAGTCTTACTAATTAACCCATAGCTTGTGGAGAAGTGGTAGATTAATACCTTTCCTAATGTAAGTGAATATAACGAACACAACTGGAATTGAACCTCAGCTCTCCGATTAACAATTCCGAGCCATTATTCTTTACACCATCCGCACCTCCAAGCTTACAGCATTTGATATTCCCAAGTGGTAACCCATCTATATACTGACCAGGCTTGAAGTTGCTTAACTTCTGTGATCGTAAGGGAACCGATCTTTCAACATGATGTGGCCGTAAGCCAGTGAGAATCTTCAGTTGCATTGAGAATATGGCAAGTATTGATGAGGAAATATTGATTTTATTTTTATTGATCTTGCCATATGAAGTAATGGATTGGTCAAAGGGGTTTGTTTTGGTTTTAAATTAAGAGCTGAGATTATAATCCCGATTATCTTTTATCTCAAGAGTTGCTATTCTGCAACTCTTCATAAAGAAGTAATGTCTTTCATGAGAATCTTGAAAAGGATAATGCTGAGTGTTTTTAGATAATAACCCCTATCCTATCGATAAGCCATTTACATTGATTAATAGCACCATTCTCTCAGTAACACTTGCATTGACCACTAACAACTTTCTTCAATATTTTTTATGCATTTCTATAGCAAAACCATTAACGATATATTTATATTATTACTGAAATGTTATTTTTAGTGGATGCCCGTATATGAGTAGACGCTCTGTTTATTTATTAAACTGTATATTTATTTATTTTCATCTACCGGCCTGAATATTCGAGAAATCTTATTAAAGAAAAATATGTGCTCTCTCACAGGATTCGAACCTGGATCCTTCTTGACAGAAGAAACCTTCGTTAGATCCGACCTACTTTAGATCGTCTCAGCTACGAAGTTCGTCGATGATCGAGCGAAGTTGAATAGTGTCTTATAAACGCCAATCAATTCTCCGACTCTCCTATCAACGGGGTGCAGGTTCGAATCCTGCCGAAGAGAAATTTTCACATATTTGCTGGATTTGGTTTGTTTAGTTCTACGGCATATCAACCTCAATGGGTTATTTAATGCCATCAAAATTTTTATTGTTGGTAATTTTTTTTTTTTTTCAAAAATCTATTTCTGGTAATATTTTTCCTTCAAAAAATCTATTTTTGGTAATATTGTTTCTACAACAAATCTATTTCTGGTAATATTTTTTTTCTTCAAAAATCTACTTCTGGTAATAATTTTCTTTCAAATATGTATCGCTGATAATATTTTTTTATAAAGTATTTCTGGTATCAAAAAACCTATTTTTACTCTTTCATAGTGTTTTGACCCCGAGTTTAGGGGTTAACTGTTTGCCCATAGCTGGGACCCTAACAGGTGACACTACCCCGCGTCAGAGTGAATCTGGGCACAGTAGAAATTAAGAGGTGGTTCCACGCTCCTCAAAACCTCATGATCAGAGGCCTTGCTGTTGGACGTAGTTTATCGTCTTACTCTGGATCTGGACATAGTTTATCGTCATACCCAGGACGACATATCTGCTGGGTGTACGTTTTAAACGGACAAGCAATTCTAGTGTGTCTCCAACACAATGCCACTGATAAGCTCGTCTGTATTTCTTGAGAAAAATTCCTCGCAAGATATGTTCTCTTCCAAATGACTAGTGAGACTAGAGGGATATGGCCGTAGAATTGCTTTCTTTTTTGCTGGCTGCTGATTCCCGGATGGATTCAGTTCAACACACGGCATCCTGGTATAAATAATATGTAGTTTCTTTCCCAATCATTCTTTCAATGTTTATGTAATGTTTTCAAAGAGCCAGACATACGAATATGGCTTCGAAGAAATTTTGTTTCTTTTTATCCAATAAAGCAGATCTCTGGACTATTAACTGCTTATTGATCACAATCCAAACTTTGCCAAATGGAAATGTTCACATTTCTTTTCTGATCTTACGATAACACTTGTATAAATTCCTGACCGCTGACAATACCTTTGGTTTGATTTTCAAGCCACAAACAAGATACAGGTTGCCTAAAACGAAATCAAATTGTAGGTAAAAAAAAAATAGAAAAAAACAACATTAAATATTTAACCGTCAATTCTTTCCCTCTCTTGCCATAAATACTAAATTTGTTGGTGCGAACAAGAGAGTGATAGAGTAGTGGTAAAGTCAGTGGGTACTAATAAGAGGAGTGAAAAAAAAACTTGCCTATAGCAAACTGAAATGAAATGTAACAGAGATTATCATTTCATTTTTCCCCTTTTTCTATCTCCAGAATTGGCTGTTTCAAATTAGAAAAGATATTAGTTGTTTCATTATTAGAAAGATATTTTTTTACATATTTCACAACAAGTAAGGAAATAAAGCCACTAAGACACCAAGGGTTACTGGGAGTGGAAGAGAATGAGAAGACTTTAATGTGGTAAAAGAACAATAAAAGAACAGGGTTCAGAGAGAAAATGGTGATTGACGTCATTTTTTTTTTAAAGATTGCAGGTAGCAGAGAAGCAAGAAACCGGAAGAAAGTTCCACAGGCGAGAAGTGCGAGTGAAGAAACTATTAGAATAGAACTTACGGCTACATCAAACTATTTCAATAGTAAAACGATGACACCTAGCTATTCATGAGGTCGAGGTGCCAAGGAGGAGAGCGATATTTATTTGTATGAGAATACAAAACGTGGCACAAGTCCAAAAAAGGGGGATAGAAAAAAAAAGGACGGCCTTCTCCTGCCTTAACGTTAAACTTAGCTAGCCACAAACACTGACCCAAACATACAACAATATGCTTTATACCAAAACAACACATTCTTGCTCAAGTTTCTTACTACAATCACCATTATACCTCATTGTCTCTATGAAAGTTCTTACTAATCCCCATATGTACAATTTATTGTCTGTGGGAAGGGGGAGAATAAAACAACAAATTTAACACAGAGGAAAACTCATTAGAACAATTGTCATAAAAATATTTATAGAAAAAACACAGGGAGGGTACGTCATGGAATCGGGAAAGTGACTGAAGCCGAGATGCCAGGTCAGGACCGATAACATTTTACTGACAACCATGCATCCTGTCTTCTTGCAGTTTCTTCTTCTTCTTCTGTTCAATGATTGAATCAGTTACGATCATGATTCAGTTTGATTCATCCAGAAGGAAAGCGATATTTATTTTTTATGAGAATACCAAATCTGACACAAGGCCAAAAAAGAGGAATGGGGAAATAAGACGGCCTTCTACTGTCTCAACGTTAAACTTAGCTAGCCACAAACACTGACCCAATAATGTTCCTTACACCAAAACACTGACTCAACAATATTCCTTCAACCAAAACAACGCATTCTTACTTCCCTTTCTTACTTACATCCACCATAATACCTCATTGTCTCTATGAAAGTCCTAAAACTAATCCCCATATGTACAATTCCTTGTCTGCGTTGGGGGGGGGGAGGGGGAAAAATAACAATTTAAAAATCTAAACCACAATGAATATTTACAAAAATGAACAATATACAAGAAACTAAACAAAAATATGCCAAAGAGGAGAGCTCATCAGAACAACTGACATGAAAATATTTATAGAAAAGGCAGAGAGAATCTATGTTATGGTGGTGTGAAAGTGAGTAAAGTCGAGATGCCAGGTCAGAGCCGATAACATTACAGACCCTACTTTGGATTTTGTTAAGAATTTCCAGTCTTATAACAAGAGCACCTGATATGGCGGCAATATTCAATGCACGGAAGACTGATAAATTTATGAATGTGCAATTGGATTCGACACAGGGTACTAACCTTCTAAGCAGCAAACCTCGCAGGCTCTCCATTTTATGTCATGAGACCAAGAAGGTACAACGAGTTTCTTTCCTGGAAGCTAGCATCAGTTATGCTGATGGAGGGCGAAAATAGTTTCCTATAATGATTAAAAGATATCATTTTGATTTTGGAGATGTTTAAATTTACAAGCCATTTCTTGCCCCAGGTAACAACTGATTGGCAATAGCGGATACCAATTTTACTTTGTCCAACCTGTCAAACTTACTATTAAGACAGGTGTAAATAGATGTGTCATCAGCATAGATACCTAGTTGCGAACTGATGACATCGGGGTGGGGAGGGTCGTTGATGATGTTATGAGAGTTTGTTTCTTTTTAAATCCTACCTATGATATCATAAAACTAATTATTATATTAAAATGGATAAGTTACTATTTAAAGTTTTAACCTTACTGATATACGAATTTAAAAACGTTGCCATTAATTTTTTTAAATTTCTGTTTATTAACATTAAATAGAAGTTTTTGATATGAAAGGATATAAAATAAGGTTTGCTTTGTGGTGGGGATAGTTGCCCATAGTTTCTTTTGAAAATTGGAGCAACACAATCTTCCTTATTCTCATTAAGTGGTTCTACTATACTAAGTTTAGGAAATATCAATGATATAAAATTTAAAGCAAATGGACACCTCGCGGCGATGTAATGATTAGCAAGCTTGTCTCGCTAGAACAATTACGATTGAGTGGTGAGTTCGATCATCACTGGGTGCCCCATATTTTCGGCCTTGTGCCACATTTAAACTACGCTTGGAAAATCACTATAAGATTTAAAGCAAATTTCTTTTTGCCTCTCTTCTGCAGTTGTCTGTTTATCTGTGTAACTTTCAGCAAATTTCAAACTGAACCCTATATTTAATCTATTGACGGTAGATTGTTCTCATTTTTAAACACGGTTCAGTTATCTAAAAAAAAAAAAGACAGGATATCCCGAGACATAGGCAGCAGGACAAGAACAATCTATCCTAACACGTGTAGATTAAATAAATGGTTCAAATTGAGATTCCTTGAAGCCTACATGGATCAATAAACGCCTGAAGAATGTCAAAGAACTCAATGGCTGAAACATTGTAATAATAACAACAAAGATGAGGACCTGGCTATATCTCTGAGATGAAGTATTACGATTATTTACATTATTTGCACTATTATCTTCATCGCCATATTCATAAAGACGTTGGTTAGATTCGGGACTAAACCCAAAGAGTTGTGAGTTCAATACCAGGCTACAGCAGTGGTGAATCAAAAAAAAAAAAACTTGGAGAGTTAAGTTACAAGGAAATAACTGAGACACCCAGAAGAGGCATGGCATGTGGAACTAGAACAATCTACCCCGGTGGACGAAATAAAGGGTTTACTTCGAAATTCCAATCACCTGAAGAAGGCCGGAGAGTACAACGGCCAAAACGTAGTGAATATGGCAATGAAGATGAAGATAACAGACCCGAATAATGTAAACAA